TGACAACAGCACAAAGTCCAACGCGATTCTGCGATGCAGGAGGCCGTTCATTATGGCAACCTTCAACGCAAGCACAGTGAGGGAGGATGCGAGGGCCAGGGAGATGGCCCATTGTGCAGTGAAGTGTGGTGTGGAGATTTTGGGTGTGCAGGAACACAGGAGAGTTCACTCGGACCAGCTTGTGTTTGAGAGAGTGGAGGGCAGCTACCTCGTCACGTCGTCGGCATGGAGGAATGCGGCACAGGCAGCTATTGGAGGGGTGGGACTGATGCTTAGTCCTCGAGCTAGAAGGGCTCTTCGGGAAGTTCACAATCATTCTGAGAGGATCCTGATTGCCGAGTTCGACAGCAATCCAGTCACAACCGTCCTCGTTGTTTATTCCCCAACCAATGTGTCACAAGTAGAGGACGTGGAGTTGTTCTACGAGCAGCTCACAGCAGCTGTCAGGGGTGTGCCAGCTCATAACTTCCTGGCCATCTTGGGTGATTTCAATGCTAGACTTGGGCCTGAAGATGCATTGTACACGTATCATGACAGCACCAATAGAAACGGCATGCATATGTCCGAGTTTATGAGTGAGCACCAGCTCTTTGCTGCCAACACCCAATTCCGGAAAAAGCGCGGGAAGAGGTGGACATTCAGAGACCGTGGCACCGGGATTACGAGGCAACTCGACTACATGCTAGTGCGGAGGAAGTGGAGGAACAGCATCTTGAACGCTGAGCCCTTCAGCACGTTCGCTTCTGTGGGCTCTGACCACAGAGTTGTCTCCATGAAGGTGAGACTGAGTCTGAGAGTACCGAAACCAAAGCACAGACTCAGATACGACTGGAGGTTGTTCGCGGCAAGACCAGACCTACAAGAGAAGTACACCGTAGAGGTCCATAACCGCTTTCAGATTCTGGAGGAAACAGAGAACCCAAGTGTTCGGTACGAACGTTTTGTAAGAGCAAATACTGAGGCAATGAAGGGGTGTGTTCCAGAGATAGAGCGAGTCAAGATCAGTGCTCGATCGAAGCAACCTGATGTAATGATAGCAAGAGGGAAAGTGGAATCGGCCCACCGGGAGTTTAGTCAAAACCAGACTTTGGAGAACCGTGACCTGGTGAAAAAGGCAAAGGAGCTGCTGTTTAGCACATATGACAGGCTCAGGAGCGAGGAGTTGACAAAGAAAGTCAGGCGCATTGAGACAGCTCATGGTGAGCGCAGGTACAATGAATCCTGGAAGGTTATCAATGAGATGACAGGGCGCAAGAAGGCGAAGGAGGGTCAGGTGGTGGGTGCCAGTGCAGAGGAGAGAGTTGATACGTGGCTCACCCACTTCAGCAGCCTGCTAGGTAGAGCACCAGATATTGAAGATGCTGATGAGGACATCCCAGACGTCCTCACTGACCTAGACATCAACGATGGTCCATTCACTGCCGCTGAACTGGCCAAGGCCAAGTCGACACTGCAACAAGGGAAGAGTGCAGGTCCAGATGGCATACCTCCAGAAGTCTTCAAGTATTGTGAGATTGACATCATCATTCTGGAAATCTGCAACCTTGCCCTGATTAACAACGACGTCCCCAGTCAATGGTCGCTGTCGAACATCATACCCGTGCCAAAATCTGGTGATCTTAGTAAAACCGACAACTACCGTGGCATTAGCCTCACATGTATCATTGCAAAGATGTTCAACCGAATGATACTAAATCGGCTACGCAGTGCGATCGACCCTCACCTGAAAGATAACCAGAACGGGTTCAGAGAGAGGAGATCAACAACAGCGCAGATCCTGGCTCTGAGGCGAATAATCGAGGAGGTGAAGATCAATAACCTGACAGCAACCCTGACATTCATTGACTTCACAAAAGCGTTTGATTCCATCCACAGAGGGAAGATGGTGAAAATTCTTAAGGCATACGGAGTTCCAACGAATCTGCTTCGAGCCATCCAGTCAATGTACTCAGGAACCCGAGCCAAAGTGGTCACTCCCGATGGAAACACAGACGAGTTCAACATCTTGGCAGGAGTCATGCAGGGCGATACCCTCGCCCCATTCATATTCATCGTTATTCTTGACTTTGCCCTCAGACGAGCTATAAGCGGACACGAGGTAGATCTTGGATTCACACTGATACCAAGGAGATCGAGCCGCTATCCCGCAGTCGCCCTGACTGACCTCGACTTTGCGGATGACATCAGCCTCCTCTCTAACTACACTTCTCAGGCACAGGAGCTTCTGACACGTGTGGAGATGGAATGTAGCCGGGTGGGTCTCTCACTCAATGCCAGAAAGACAAAGGTGGTCACTTACAACGTCCCAGACATGCATCCCTTACTACCCTAGAGGGCCGCCCTCTCAAGGAAGTCAGCGACTTCAAGTATCTAGGATCATGGATCGACTCCTCTGAGCACGACATCCGCATTGGAAAGCCCTTGCCTGGAAGGCTCTACATGGGATGAAAACCATATGGAGCTCTAACATGTCAAGGGATGTCAAGATCAGTTTCTTCCAGGCCACGGTGGAGTCCATCATGCTATATGGATGTGAGTGCTGGACCTTAACAACGACCCTTCAGAAGTCCCTCGACGGTTGTTACACCAGAATGTTGGGGACGGTGCTCAACATCGACTGGAGAAACCACGTGTCTAATAACACCCTTTACGGCATGCTACCTAGGATCTCACAGAAGATCGCATACAGGCGGATGGGCATGGCAGGGCACTGCTGCAGACACCCTGAGCTACCAGCAAGCCGTCTGGTGCTGTGGGAACCGACTCATGGGGTGAAGCGGAGGGGAAGACAGATGACGAGCTATGTCGGGGTTCTGAGGAGAGATGCCGGGACTGAGACCACAACAGAGTTGGCTGCTTGTATAAAGGATAGAGAGGATTGGAAACGCCGCAGGGGATCCCGCCTGCGGGCGACATGATGATGTATCCTGATGAGAGCTAATTAGCGTGCGAAGCTTAAACAGCGTGGGGTTAAAATGATTCTAGAGGTTCTCAATGTGACGTAATTTCTGACTACTTGCAAGGTTTTAGCAAAATATCATCATTTATACATCATTAATGAGTTGGGAGCCATTGAATCGGCTATTCTGAGCTACAGAATCAAATACAGGGCGAGTCAAAAAAAAGCGAAACCCAAATGTCGGGACTATTGTTTTTAGTGAATTTCTGCATGTAGCACTTTCAAAATCTAGGATATGAAGTCCCAATCCAAAAGCTTTCTTTTAGCACAAAAATCATTCAAATCACTTATGTACTTTTGAAGTTACGGAATTTTAAGCACAACCACCGTTTTGAAGTTCTGTCGACCAATCACAAGAAGGTAAGTGTTCATTCAGCAAAACGAAACCAAATCACACATTTTTTTGTGATCCATGGACAGAACTTTAAAACGGTGGTTGTGTTTGTAATTCCGTAACTTAAAAACTACATAAGCGATCTGAATGATTCTTGTACTAAAAGAAAGCTTATGAATTGGTCTTTCATATTCTGAATTTTGAATGTGTTACATGCAGAACTTCACTAAAACAATGATTCCGACATTTGAGTTTCGGTTTTTTTTGTACTCACCCTGTAGACTACAATTATTTAATCAGGGAAGAAAATAATTGGGGGAACAACATGTCCCCCCGCTCTCACCGATCGACGCTCTTAGTTCGCAGTTAGCACCTGCTTTAGAACGATTAATTGTATACGTAGGGCCTGCATGTAATACAGCGTCAGTTGGTGAAATTGAAAACTCAGAGAGAGACCCTCTGCGCGTGGGTGTGGTGTGGGTAGGCCTATATGTGTTTTATGGCACACTGCGGTATTATTGTAGGCCCCCAATTTTTCGTAAGCCCCCAACATTTTCGTTGGCCTTAGGTACAGTGCCTACTGTGCCTACTGGGTAATCCGGGCCTGACTTAATGTCGCTCGCTGCAGCACTATGGGGTCACTGGTTGTGGGTCATCCTCGCAATGGGCCAGAGTAAGGTTTTGGGGAAAAGTTAGACTTGAGGACCAGTCACTAGAGACAGTCGTGTTTCGTCTGTCGGCGCCCCTATCTATATATACTTGCACAGCGAAGTGTATCATGAGGGGACCATTAGAAGCGGTACGCGCACGGCATTCGTATGTGGCCTGAAAAATAATCACCATTTTACCTTTAAAAATGCTAAAATATGATGCCGTAGACGAACGTTTATAAATGTGTTTGTGTACAACATTATGTAAGTATAAAAGTATATGAGTGATTTGAATGATTCTTTTTTGAATGAAATCAAAAGCTTGACTGAAGAAGATATTTTTGCGTCTGGAAGAGGGCGAAATTGAAGATGAAAAAGAAAGTTTCTTTTTAATGGGGCTTTCACATCTAGATCAGAAAAGTGCTACGAATTACGTTAAGGGAATGCTTGAATGGTGAATGTCATAGCTGGAGGAGAGAGGGTAAAAAGTTTGGGGCGTCAAAATGATAAAAGCGGAGAAAAAACGGGATTATTCCCACAATGACAACACAAGTACTACACGGATCAGGAAAGGAAAAAATCGGAATCCAGTTAAAATTGTAGTCTATGGAATATGATATGCCAGCAGATTTGGCGACTAATTATGCAAAACAAGATTGCGTCTTGACCTCGAGATCCTGACCATTCAGCGGACGTCTTCTATATCGTATCTTCTGTAACCCGTTGTTGTATTATACAAACATGGCATCCAATTTGGGCAATAACCAGCATAATTCTACTTTCTGATGGAAACGACGTCACAGTTTCTAAAGTGAACTCCAATTGGATGGCGGGCAGGGTCTTATAAAATTTGCCTGTTATGAGATATCAGACGTGCGACAGTTTCTATGCACACGTGAATATCTGATACTCGGACTATAAAAAAAGGATTTGACAACAAAATATAAATATGGATAAAAGGATACAAAAGAACACTTGTATAGATGAACAAAAAAAGTAGATTTTGAAAAGAGGAAGGAACAATTTCACAATCAGGCGGACAAACACTGCTACCTACTTAGTTTGGATTTGCAAACTACTCCGGCAACGTTTGAGCTTTCACACTGCTGGTACTTGGTGCTGACAAACGGGCAGTCGGCCAGTCGGCTCTCCGTCCCCTCACAAGCGACTCGGCTCATCATGATCGGCAGGTCACCTCTCCCGTATTCTGAGGCTGTGTTGGCCTGGATTGCTGCACCGAGGTCCAGCTGACGGCACACCGTGTTGGCGTCGTTTATCCCCCAGTCTTTACCGCACACCGCTCCCCAGGATGCTGTATCGTGCTGGTAGATTTCCACACGGCCACTCCAAGCGTCAGTGCCATTCACCAACCTTACATTACCATCTGGGACTTTAAAGAATTCATTTTGAATCTATCAGAACGCCTGCAATTTTGAAAAATTAAATCTGGTGGAACTATCAGTTTCACTCATCATTTTATTTGAATTTTAACGTGGGTGTGTACGTGACTAAAATACCAAATTCCTTCATCGACATTTCGTTTTGTTTGTTATGATCCGAAAAGTTTAGTGATTTAGCACATTCTGCAGATGGAACAAGTATTTATTTCGCAACGCTCAATTAATTTTGACAAATGTCCTCTGTATAGGCTGTAACATATCATGTCTGAACGGAAATGTTGTTATGCCAATGCCTTATGTCAGTTTTCCTACGGATGAAGAGCTTTTGTTAACTACCTTGCACTTGGCACCCGAATACCTCGAACCTCACTCTGTAGTATTGATTAGTCCAGGCCAGGGGTAGTATGCGAATAAACCTTGCTGTGGGTACCACAGGAAAAGTGACATTCGTTGGCCGACCACTGGTTAAGTTGAACTAAAATGAAGCAAAAGCAGGATTAGAGTGGTAATGATAACAATTCAGTTTTTATTTGCAACATTCCGATACCTGCCCGTACAGTTCTTTATGCAACTACAAAACATGTCTTCCTTATCAGCGGATACCGCGTGGAAAACAAATTGAGAGTTTAAACCTTTGGTTGGCTACTGTTAGTTTCAATGTGTACTTTATTGAAGGGAATGTCTTTTCATTTTCAGCAGTCTGAAGCCCCATTATGAAATAACGGAAAATGAAAATAACAATAATGAATAAAAACAATCAGGCAATCTGGCTATGTCTTATTTGAAAAGCTGTTAAAAACCCCCGGAATACCACATTTTTAACGATAAAACGGCGTATAACAACCAATAGAATCCCAGAAGATGCGAGAATGTTGCCTAACATCATATTAGGTATTTATACAGATAGTATACATCAACTCATGATAAACTCATTGCAATAAAATAAACTAGAGACTATACGCACTTGACATCATTGCATTTAGCCATCTATACGGGTGCAACACTAAATAGGAGATTAAAAACACGCCCTAATACAGGTTTTTTTGGCAACATTACCAGTTCCATTAAAAAAGACACATCCTAATAGGAATATGCCTTTATGTCGATCCCCAAAATCGTTGGACCGTATTGTGTTTACGTAGAAATTCTGCTTCAGATTCCAGCGATGGATATCTGTTTCACAGTCATTATTAATTTAGTATCTTAATTTGTAGTAGTTTCTGAGTATTCGCCTCACGTGCAGATTATTCTATTTTCATCCATATAAGCGCTTTCGTCTTTTCACTCGTCATTTCTGTCATGCATTGGCATGAGAGAACAAATCAAAGGATGAAAATAATGACTCTTTTCAAACTAAAGACAAAGGGTTGGAAGTTTTGTCACAAATCCCGCAATCATAAGACGCTCCAAAGACATTCTTTTCAGAACATTTCGTTCGCCTTGTCACTGATGAAATGGAATGACCTAAATAGGTTGAGAGATTTTAAAGTAACCAGAGAGAGAGAGCGAAAATTTCATTTTTCAATATAAAGCAAATCTCCATTTTCCAAATGAGAGTGACTTAAAACGCTGCATCCGTTCCAATTTATACAGTTCAAAGTTACTGTAGTGTTATTGTGAAGCCGGATTGAACTCAAAAAAGTACGAATTGAATACCAAAATGATTTGTCTCCAGAGCGTTTTATTCCCGGTTCTCGACCATGCCGCTATCCCATAATGTCCCCTAGAGGTCAATCTAATTTGCATAGGTCTCATTTGCATAGCACTGTAAACATTGCATGTAATGCATATACATGTATTATCGGGACACTACATCTCCCCCTTTCTTTAGATTTAAACAAACATTGTTAAATCATGTGACACAAAAAGATTTGAATAAGCCAAGGTGAACATTCAAGATATCCGGGGTGCGACAATATCAGAAGTCAAACTACGTGTATTTCTTGAAGAACACTCAGTTGACAAAATTATCCTTTAACATCAACAATGTAACTTTTCCTAAGTGATTAATACAATCAGCACGCAGAGAAATTCTGATCACTTGCAATTTTAGTATGGAATGTGACCGCCAGATTGGCCTTGAGTTAAACAACCTATTTACTACCATTCTAAGAGAAAATTCACTTATTTTGTTCTAAATGGAAGTTTTGTGCTCCAAGGATCCTAGAATGTATTGAACATGTCATTTTGCAGTTTACTTTAATCACTTTAGTTTAAATTTTAATAAACACTTTCGTAACATGCTTTAAGTAAACAATCCATGCTTCCAACTGGATTTTAGCTTTTTGCAACACAACTTAATTTTTTGTTTTTTGTTTAACATTTCAAAACTTGATGATGCATCTGAACATTGAAAACTACATGTTTACTTATACACAATGAAGTCATCCAACCATTTGGGAGGTCCCTTATTTTCCCTCACAGGTCTGGCAGTTTGAGAGCCAATTTGTGTTTCAACAGGGCCCAGATTTTCTCCCTCTTCCCCTTTTGTGTTTTGGGATGAGTCACATGATGACCCTGTGTGTTCTGGAACATTTTCATGTTCTGGATTGCTGTCATGTTCTAGTGTATTGTACTTCTTAACATGTGTGCTGTTTCTTTTGTATCTTACACCTGCTGGGGATTGTACTGTTACACTATTCCCTTCTTTCTGGACCAGTGTATAAGGAGTTGTCTTAAATGGAGTGGTCAGTTTATCCTGACGCGCTTGTTTCAACAGAACTGAATCCCCTGGCTGGAGATCCCTATCCGCTGCTCCTCTCTTGTCGTCTATGTACAACTTGTTTTTGTATTTCTGTGTAGCATCTCTGTCTCGTACTTCTTCGTCAAGACCTCGACTGTCGACCTCCAACTGTGGAAGTTTTGTCCTTAGTTTTCGTCCAAACATCAGTTCTGCTGGCGAAACCCCTGTGGTTGCATGAGGCGTTGTTCTATACGCAAACAGGTAAGTACGGATTTCTGTCTTCCAGTCGCGAGACTCAGCCGTAGCAATTCGAATGCGTTTCATCAGTGATCTGTTCTGCCTCTCGACCTCACCATTTGCTGCCGGATGGAGGGGTGTTACAGCTCTGTGTCTAATATCATTACCCTCCAAGTACTTCTCAAAAATCTCAGACCGAAACTGTGGTCCATTATCTGATGTGATGGATCTCGGAAGGCCATAACGACTGAACATGTTCTCTAAGGCCTCGATGATACGTTCACTTGAAGTATCTTTCATGATTTCCACCTCATAGAAACGACTATAGTAGTCAACTACCACGAAAACATAATGCTTCGACGGCAGTGGTCCCATCAGATCAATGGCCAAATCTTGCCATGCTGCAGTTGGCATCGGTGTAGGCTTCAGTGGTTCTGGGTTTGGCATCGCTCCAGTAACTTGACACCCATGACATGATCTGACATACTTCTCAACATCTTTTTCCATCTGAGGCCACCATACTTTGGTTCTGAGTGTCTGCTTTGTACCAACTACTCCCAGATGTCCCTGATGAGCCAATTCTACACATTTCATTCTCAACTTCTTTGGAATGACAATTCTGGTTCCCCTAACAACTAGGTACCCAATGCAGCTCAGCTCATTTCTCACTGCACAAAAGTTCACACTGGATTTATTCCACTGGTCATCCTTGAGACACTTTCGCACAGCAACAAGCTCCTCATCAATCTTCGATTCTTCTTCGACTTCTCTCGTCGATATTGCTCGGGGCGTTGCTTCCCTGGCAACAAAACGAATATATTCTTCTGCCTGCATCTGTAATCTGCTAGGTTTGTCTGCAGTGCTTGTGTCCACCAGCCTAGACAACACATCAGCGATGTTCTCTCTACCGGGTCGATACTGAATCTTAAACGTGTACGACATTAACTTCAAAAGCCATCTCTCTATCCTCGCGTTGGGTCGTGACTTCGGACCATACAACACTTCCAGTGGTTTGTGGTCTGTTACAAGCTCAAACTCTATACCGTACAAATATACATGGAATTTCTCGCACGCCCATACAACTGCTAATGCCTCCTTTTCTGTTGTCGAATACCTCGTCTCCACATCAGTCAGCATACGACTAGCATAGCTAATAACTCGTGTTTGACCCTCGTATTCTTGCAGTAAGACCGCACCTAGTCCCACATTACTTGCATCTGTCACCAACTGCGTCTTTGTAGCATCCAGTCTAAAATACCCCAGAGTGTCAGCATCGGTTAGACACTGTTTCAGTTTCTCAAAACTCTGCTGCTGTTCTGGACCCCATACAAACTGCTCATTCTTTCTCACCAGCTTACGTAGCGGTTCTGTGAGCGTAGCCAGGTTTGGGATGTACCTCGCAGAGAAGTTTACCAACCCAAGAAAGCTCTTCACCTCTGCTGCATTTGTCGGTTGTTTGGCATTCTTCATGGCCTTGATGCGTCCCTCTGTTGGCTCTATTCCACGACGTGACAAGACATGCCCCATGAATGTGATCCTCTCCATTGCAAATTCACATTTATCTGGATTCAGAGTAAGTCCTGCCCCCTTCAGGTGCTCCAGGACCCGTCTCAGTCTCTGGTCATGTTCTTGCTTGTCCCTACCATACACTACGATGTCATCTGAAATATTCTGAACACCGTCACAGTCATGGAAAACTTGTGCAATCACCTGCTGATATTTCTCAGGTGCAGCACTGATCCCAAACATTAACCGTTTGTATCTGTACAGCCCTTTGTGTGTCACAAATGTTGTGATGTCACGTGACTCATCATCCAATTCAATTTGATGATAGCCATATTTCAAATCCAACTTACTAAACACTTCTGCCCCATTCATGTTATACAATATTTCATCGACAGTGGGGATTGGATGTCGCTCCCTGATGATTGCATTGTTTGCTTGTCTCATGTCTACACACAACCTAATGTCCCCATTTGGCTTTGGCACCACAATGACAGGACTGACCCATGATGTTGGGTTTTGCACTTTCTCAATAATGTCTAGAGACTCTAGCTCATCTAGTTTATCACTAACCTTTTGTCTCATACTATACGGTACTCTATACATTCTCTGAGCTACTGGTTGCACATCTTTGTTTATGTGTAAACTCAACTGATAACCTTTCAGTTTCCCAATGCCTTCAAAACACTGTTTGTACTCTGTACGCACATCATCAACATAATTGACTCCAATGCTCAATATGTTCAGTTGTTCTGCTGTTTCTCTCCCCAACAATGCTGGCCCTGCACCCTTAAGTACATAAAAATCAGCGTAAACTTCACAACTTTTAGTACCCTCTGCCTGCACGGCAACTACTGTACTGAATTTACCCAACAGATCTAGTGGTTTGTCAGCCCCGTATGCATACAACTTCTTTGTGGTTATCTCAGATTTACATGTAATCTTTTGTTTCTTCAAACTTTCCCACAACTTTGCATCAATGAGATTCACTGTGGCCCCACTATCAACAATAACATCTACTGGTAATTTCTGCTTACCCAAACACACTTGCAATTTGTCTGTGGAACAAGAATTCACTCGATTAACATCAACACTTCCTACATGAAATGCATAAGAGTCTGAGTCCGAGTCAGTTTCATTGTCCACCGTGTTTACTTTTCCTGAACCGTTTGATTTTCCATGTCCTGGTTTTCTTGGTTTCGCGTATCCCGTTTTCCCTTGTCCACTTGCATGACTTGACTTGCCTTGCACTCTGCCATGTCGGCCGTCATGACTTTTGCCAGTTTCTCTTTTAGTCTTGCAGCAAGACGCAAAATGTCCGGCAAGTCCACATTTGTTGCACTGTTGCTTCTTTGCTGGGCAGCTGCCATCCCTTGCAAAATGTCCGGATCTTCCGCACCGAAAACACTTCCCGTGTTGTTGTGTGCGTGTTCCCGTTGTACGAGTTCCATGTTGCACAGCGTTCACGTTGGCGCTAGCTCCGTGGGTGTTACTCCCGCATTGTGGCCCGTGTGCTCCGGCGTCCATCTGTTTCGTTTGTTTATCCGTTAGTTCGACTGTCACCGCGATTGTCCTCAGGTCATCCAGCTTTAGATCATGTCCTTTGATCAACAGTTTGGCACGGATCTTGTGTGATCTGCATTTTTCAATCACTTGGTCACGAATTTCCTCGTCTGCATTCTGGAAATTGCAGCGAACAGCTCGTTGCCGCAGCCGCACGATGAACTGCTCTATCGACTCGCCGTCCTCCTGCGCCATGCTCCTGAAGCAATACCGCTCATACGGCACGTTGATTTTCGGCTGAAAATGTTTGCTCAGGGTTTTCTTTGATTTCTCGTAGGCGTCTGACCCCTCTTCTTCCTCCAAGGAAAAGAAGATATCCTGCACTTCTGTCCCGGCACAGTGTAGCAACAACGCTCGTTTCTGCTCGGCATTTTTCACCCCTCGTCCGACTGCATACAGCTCGAAGCTACGCAGCCATCGCTGCCACGCGATTCCCACATTGCTTGGGTCGCCGTGCGGGTTGAACCATTTGACTTGACTCACGTCACTGCTGCTGAGTTCCATGACTTTTCCACACGAATTAAATCGGAAAATCTCAGTCAAATGCGTCCAAAAGATTCTTCACGATTATCCTGAATTGTCCAGTATCCTCGTCGCCAATTGTAGTGTTATTGTGAAGCCGGATTGAACTCAAAAAAGTACGAATTGAATACCAAAATGATTTGTCTCCAGAGCGTTTTATTCCGGTTCTCGACCATGCCGCTATCCCATAATGTCCCCTAGAGGTCAATCTAATTTGCATAGGTCTCATTTGCATAGCACTGTAAACATTGCATGTAATGCATATACATGTATTATCGGGACACTACAGTTACTACTTTGTAAACATTTTGAGGCCAACGATAAGGAAAACGATTAATAAAGATGACTGAATGTTTGGAAAGCGCCCTCTGTAACTCACTCTGATTGCTCCACCGTCAGCATTGGTTAAACTCTGCCAGTCATCTAACTCAGCTGTGAGGCTGTGCTGGACTGAAAACGCCCTGACATGACAACAGGTCACGCTGAGGTGTCCTTGCATGGTGAGCCCGTAACCGTCGTGGGTTTACCCAGGTCAACCTGAATCCACTGATCTGCTGGAGTGCTTGGTACCCATCCTTGGGTTCCTGTGGGATGATATAATGGTTTTATTATTAGCGTTGGGAATGTTCCAATACGCAAATTAAAAAATAATGCCTACAATCAGAAGATGTACAATCAGCTACGATTTATCAAATTTACTCCAATAATACA